TGGCAAAACATGCAGTAAATTACTGTTCTGAATGCCAACAATATTTTGAGATTAGCAAATCTTACAGAGCTTGGTTTGGGGTCGCAATTTGCCAGAGTAACTGGGGGGCTCTTGCCACCCCAGTACCCCCCAGCTCCCAAGGATTGCACCGAGCTGCAAATGCTTCTTGTTCTTTGGAGGAGATGAGGTAAGTTCTGGGGTCATCACTGGCCATGGGGTTGCAGGACCCCCACACTCACATGGGTGCCCACCCCGCGCTCCCAAAAGGCGGGACTGACCCTCTGATTCCCCTGCCATCTTCCCAGGCTGTTCAGCCCAGCTTGACAAATTCCCAATTTCCTCCCTTTTTTAATCAAGTAGCAAAACCAGCTTCCACCAGCTGCCCCGGCCCTCTCCAGCATCATCCTGTGCTCCCTGGGGCAAGACACCATGACCCCGAGCACCATCAGCCCAGTCCCCAGAGTCCCCAGCACCCCCAGCACTGGCAGTTCACAGAACCACAATGCTTCAGGGTAGGGATGCCCAGGACTTTGCAAAAGCCACCCAAGAGGTTGGATCCTGGTGCCACCACCTGCGTCCAGATGTGCCACGAGTTTTCCAAGCTCAGCTGAGATCTAAATCTGCACCAGGGCCTTGCTTGTGGGACAAAGAGGAGGGAGAAACCCTTTGAATTGAGCAGGAAAAGGGACAGCAAGTACCTGGAAGCCAAAACCAGGTGCATCCTGATGGAAAATCAGACATAGGCTTTGCATACTGCAGGAGATTAAGCCCTGAAACACTCTCCCAAGGCCAAAACGGGCCAGAGCTGGCATTTTAACCCAGAATGAGTCACTGGCTCAGTACGGGAGGGACTGGAGAAGATCCCATGCTACACCTGAGGCTGGGCTTGCAAACAGTGATGCCAGCCCAGCCAGCAGCCTGTAAACTGAGACGTCTTTGCACCTCCTGACCATTAAATGGCCTCGGAAAGGAACAGTTTCCCCGCACTATATTTGCAAGGGGGCTGCTGCCCAGCACCAATCCTCTCTGCCCAACCAGTGCTGTCCAAGCCCCTCTGCTGAACACTACCTCCAATAAATCCTAAAGGTATTAAAACTATCAGATACAGGGAAAAGTGGCCCTATTAGCTTTGTTTTCTAATTCCTGGGAGCTTTGCAGCCCCCTCTGCAACCACCATGCAAGAAATGGTCCCTAAAGCTTTTTTCATGCAAAAATGTGCAACCTTTGGGGTCTGTGACTTTGACATGGGGCTCTCTGCACCCCAGCAATTGCTAGGGGATAGGGGTTGCACCTTGCTAAGAAGCTATGATTTTGGTGTCCCATGAAGGCTGACATCTCTCCTTGCCCAGTCTGGCACTGCTTTGCTCCTGGTCGTGGCCCAGAGTGTCCTGGCTGGTTCTTAGCCACCCTGTTCCTGCAGGTCCCCCTGCACCCACAAGCATCAGGGGGAAGAGTAGCAGGCAGAGGATGTTATGTGGCACCCTGTTTTGGGGAGCTGGGAGTGATCACCAAGCACCGAACAGGGCAGCGAGTGAAGCATCAGTGGCAGAAACGGTGCAAACACAAGTGAACTGAACCCGCACGTCCTCAGCCCAAGCGCAAACCTCCGGAGAGCCAGATAACCCAGAGAGAAAACTCTCTCCTGAGGAAGGTCCCCTCTCCTGCAAGGTCTCCCAAAGAGGTTTCTTTGCTCTGATGCTGCCATCCAGTGGGAGAAACTCCCTGGCATGGGAAAGGCTGGAAATGAGGGCCTTGGGCTCCCTAGCCCCGGGGCGGGGGGGGCACCCACTACCACCAGCCTCGGGGACATCCCTGCCAGGGATGCTGCAGCCAAACCCGAGCCTCCGTCTCCAAGCCCTGACCCCAGCCTGACTGCAATAGGCAAAATAATAACCACTCACACACCGCATGCTTGAGCTGCTGTGGTACCTGACACCCTCCTGAAACGTAGCAGCCAGCAAGGGGACAGGTAAGGGGTGAAGATGCACAGGGATGAGGCAAGGGGCAGCAAGCTGAGCCTTCCTCAAGAAGAGGAGGAGGCTGAGGAGCTGTGGTGGAAGCAGGGTCCCAGCGGTGAGGACACCCCAGTCCCAGTGTGATGCAGTCCCACGGGATGCTCTCAACGGCGTCCCCCAGCCACAGGATATTTGCAGTCTGAACACAGCATCCCTGCAGAAAGCTGAATTCCAGCATGTATTCATCAGCACTGGGGCTGCAAGAGGGGGGGGGTGGGAAACAAACACAAAACTCCCTGGGCTTGGTTCAGGGAAGCAAAATTACTTTGGCAGCGGCGACAGAGCAGCGCAATGGCAAGTGTTGCATCCGTAGTGGCCAGCAGCCGCGAGGATCCCACAATGTGCCCATTTGTTGTCCCGGTGGGCGGCTGGCTTCCCGCAGAAAGGAGCTTTCAGTGGGAATATTCAGAAGTTCAACCTCTTTCAGCAGTGCAAGGTTTGCTGGATTGTGTGCCGGGCACAAAGGGACAGTGTTTCCTCAGGAGCAGGGAGGTTTTGTGACTAGGGACACGGCTCTTTTCTTCCCCACACAGAATCCATCTGAGCGGAGGCAAGGCGTTATCCAGGCAGGATCGTAGTCAGAGACTTGCCTTAAAGGGAGAAAGCAGAAAAGATTTGTGTATACGGGAAAAAACTCAAAGAATTTGGGGATTTCTTTTGGCTGAAGGCAGCAGTTGTTTTCCCAAGGTGGCTCTAGTTTCCAGGAAAGCAGGGATTTTCCTCCAAACTCAAGGGGGAAACCCCCTAACTTTTTATTTTCCCTTCATGCCAAGAGGAAATTTCTCCTGGGAATGAGCCCTGTGCACAAACAAACACATTGCCCTCTCCTCCAGGAAGCACAAGTGCTCTTCCACCCACTCAAGATCAGCCAGAAACCATCCCACGGACCAGCAATTCCCTGATAACCCCAACAAGGCAGCAGCATCCTGGCTGGGTCAGAGGCACACACCCCATCGGGGACGTGTTTTGAAAGCATCTGCCACCTCTGCAAGCTGGCAAAGGCCATTTTCCCCAACTGCAAATCCACCCTCGAGGTCCAGCCCACGCTCGGGAAAGGCAAGGGAATGGGAGGTGTTGCAAAATACAAAAGGAGGATAGTTGGTGTAGGAAATCCGCAAACAGCCACTCTCCGGCATTAGGGCTGAGAACTGTGCACAGCTCATCACACCTAAAGTCCTCATAAATGATAGCTGTGCCCAAAGCCCTTTCTGCATGTTTAATTACTGCCTAAAAATCGCCGAGGAAATATTAGGGGTGTGGACAGGTTAGGGATGGAAAAGGGGGATTTTTTTTTTTTTTAAGATATCACTGGTTTTAAAGAGACTTTCCTCGTTGGTGGGTCTGGAGCAGTAAAACTACCCAGCAAAGCCGAGCAGCTCTGCAGGCATCCCGGCTGCATGCCCGGAATGGGGCGGCTGTTGTATCGCAGCGCTACCAAACTGCTCTCCCTTCATGTAACAAAGACAGATGGCAACCAGCCTGGAGCCCAAGAGCTGGCTGAGGCGGCCCTGAGAGGGGGAATAAATCTCTGCCCGATGGAGAAATGCCAGCCCAAGGGAAAGCACAACCCAGCCAGCGTTCTCGAGTGGAGTCAGGACAAGCTCGCAGCCGACAGCCAGGGAAATGAAAGCACGGTGGCATCGTCAGGGCAGCTGGGCTGACTCCCCATCACGTTGCAATGCGGGAGACCCCAAAACCTCTGTCCTCTGGAGGGGACAGGTCAGCATCACCCCCAGCCCCGCAGCGGCTGCGCTGGGCACCGTCCCTGGCACCAGTGGGCTCCCGGGGAGAAAAGGGCTTGGAGGAGGCAGGGAGGCCGGAGCGGGGCTCAGGCAGGGGTACTGGAAGTTCAGGGCTGGGTGCTTTGTCCCCCGTGGGGTAGGGCAAGGCCACCCCTTATCCCCGAGGTCCCTGCCCCATTTCCCACCCCGTGCCCAGTCGTGCCCCATCCCCCTACCCAGGCTGTGCCCAGCTCCCCACCGGGGTGCCCAGCGCCGTGTGCGGGGGTGCTCAGCTCCCCCCGTGCCCGGTGCTCCCGCGACCCCCATATCCAGGTCCCTCCCGGGACCTCCGTGCCCAGTGCTCCCGGATCCCCCGCGTCCAGCTCCTCCCGGCATCCTCGTACCCAGGGGTGCTCCCGGCTCCCCCATTCCCGGTGTCCCCGGGACCGCCGTGCCCGGGTGCTGTCGGTGCCCGGTGCTCCCGGTGTCCCCGTGCTCGGTACTCCCGGCTCTTCTGCAACCAGGTGCTCCCGGCTCACCCTTTCCCCATGCTCCCGGGACCCCCATGCTCCCAGGACTCCATGGCCGGTTCTCCCGGTTCCC